TGTATAAAAGTGTGTGTGTGTGTGTGTAAAAAGTGTGTATGTGTATGTGTATATGTGTGTGTGAAAAGTATGTGTGTGAATATGTGTAATTGTGAAACTTGAGATATTAAACTACATAAGTTGAGATATTAAACCCTAAAAGTTGAGATATCAACCGAATAAGTTGAATTAAAGATGCAATGAATCCATGTGGATCCAATCCGGATCGGTCTAAACTCGATCCACATTAAATCTATTCATGTAGGTTGATATTGGATCCGGTTCCTTTTGCATCCGATCCACATGGATCCGGATCGGATCCGGTCCAAATTGAGAAATTGCCACCCCTAGTCACTAATCACAACAAGAAAAAAAGCAAAAAAAAAAAAAAAAAAAAAAAAAAAAAACAGACATGTATATAGTATAGGAAATGTCAAGTAATATACAAAAATTTACAGACTGCATCTTCACTAATGTTGAAATATCAATTGCAAATGCAACAGAGAAAACAAAATGATAAAGGCCTACCTCTCTGGTATTGGACAATGGTAAGACATAACTAGGTAAAGAGCACCGTAAGGATGAAGATTGCAGTGAATATCAGCGTTGTTTTCTTGATCAGATTCGCCATACAAATAGCCGAAACACCCACGAGCTATTTCTGCAGAAGTATGTGTTCCCGCAAAAGTAACACCGGGAAAGTTGTCCACAAAAGGGAAGCAAGCATAATCAGGACTTCCGAGATAGTTACCACCACGACCACGGCAGCAAAAAACAATTCCACCAAAAACTTCTGCCTTTTCATGTTTTTTTATTCTGTTATTAAAATCTTCCTTTAGATCCATAAGCATATAATAAATGTTGTAGGTAGTTGACAAAGCGGGGTCTTTGTCTGAGATGTAGAAACGAAAGGGATCTCCACTATTAATACCAACAGACCTGACAGGTGGCAATGCTTCGTCGCTGGGGGAAAAGAAAAAAAAGAGAGAATCTCTATAGAATTACAAAGACGAATAAGCCAATAGAATTGTCAAGAATCTCCACATGGAATTAGTATGTCGTCAAGCATGGATATTATTTCCCACCTAATAAGTTTAAATCATGCAAAGCAAGTTTATTTTCCAAATGATTTCACCGTTCTTTTTTCTGAAAAAATAAATCTCAAGTCAACTATAGAACAAACATTGATGCATAGTCTTACATTGTTATGTGGATTTTCTACTATAGAAATGTTAGTCTAATGGTGTTCTTTAAGGGCTTGACTTGACCGTGTCTTTTCTCGGGTTGGAGGCTAAAACGGGAGGGGAAAGTTCACTGTAATCTTATTTAAGTAAGAGAACCTTTTTCAAAAACTATTGCCATTTCCATGCAATTTATGGTTTCAAATTGGCAGGATAGAGATATACTTAGGCCCCGTTTGGTTGGCAAGATAAGCCATGAGATGCTTGAAAATTAAATTAAATTTAAAAACAAGAAAGGATTTCTTTTTTATTTAATAAAGGAGTAACTTTATGTAATAAAAAGTGCATATTACCCCACAGGTTCAAATTTATGGAATTCATGAAATTGCATCAGTTTTGCTCTTTCCGTCCCAACCGAGCAACTTCTACTTTTTGTTACTCCAATATAGGTAGCTTTAGCAGCAAACATAATATCTTCTCCAACCTGTCACAGGTATCCTTGTTAGATGAATCAGTAACGAAGCAATTGTGACAAAATTTAGATGTTGAACTCTTTTCGTTTTTCCTTTGGGCAAAAGCTGCAGTTCATATAGAAATACTGACTACTGCTTAAATATTAAGTCAGCTCAACTACAAAGCTGAGCAAAGACGAGAGGCTTGACAGTTACTTTTATTTATAATTTCTACAAGGTTAATCATAAAAACTAACACTTCAGGTTTAACCTCTTCACCAAAGAAGAAAAAAAAAATCAAGCTAAGTTTGTATATAACAAATACCATCTTGATATCTATGAGGGTCATGTATAAAAACTGTCTTAGAGGTTTAAGTATAGCCTATCGGTGAAAATAATCAAGAGTTTGTAAAGCTACATAATAAATCTCGAGGGAGGTATTTGTCATACCTTGACAGAGTATTTTCTAATTCTGAAAATTAGCTCTCAATATTCATGAGTAATTAGTAGAAAGGAAAGTTTTATTGATTGCTCAAGACTTACGAGTTATTTTTTATTGCTTCCATCAGATGTAAACTACAAGATGATTTAGCTTAACAAAAAGTTGAACTAGTTCGTAGAGTAACTTTACCTACTAAGCAAAACTACGACAACCACTAACATGCACCTTCAATTTTATAAAAAAAAATTAGGTTTAGATCATGGATACCTCATCAAGAATATCATGTAAAATAGCTTCACCCTCAAAAGGCTCAGGAATTGTTTCTCTCGTTGCAGTGAAGCAAGTTGAAGTTCCGTGCTCTTCAACAGAGAGTACCTTGTATACAGGACCAACTGCTGTTACGCCAGTTGATAACATGACATGAAATTGAATTTCCCTGATACCTATACACAGATAAAAGAAAATATTGATCATATAAAAATGAAGACCAGTTTTGGTGATTACTCTCAAGTCTCAGAAATATGAATATAAAAGATGACCTACCTAAAGGCTTGTTTATATCCCTTGTGAACAATAGGGCAACAGCAGCAAACGTGGAATTTGGTGGCATGGTAGTAGTTTCACTGATTCGAAATAATAATTCACTACCTCCATCACCCACAATGAAAGTATCCTTGGAAAATGCATATTCTAAGTGATATATAACAAAGGAACAAAAAAGTGTCAACGATAGATTTTCATTGTCGCCGATATATTCTAATTAATAAATAACAAAGAAAGGCATCTTTATTTTTTATATTGAAAAATAAAATACAAGTTTCTTTTATTACTTGGAACTTAATGCACCTTAACTCTACTTCAGTTCACACTCTATATCACTAAAAAGATTAATTTAATGTGTGTGCAAGAACAATGTCTAGACATAGTTTACTTACCAGTTTTTTGAAGAACGGGTAAGATGTTTGTTTTCCGGTCCTAGCAAATCATTCAATTCAAATATAAGAAACAAAACTTACAGTTAAGAGTGTCTATTTTCTTTTAAGAAGCCTACCAAAGTGTGTAAGAAGTGTTTAAAACCCTTCAAATTTACCAAAACTTCCAGCCCTCTAATTAAGTAAATGCTTTTCAAATGAGTTTTTGTCAATGCACAGTTAAGAGTGTCTATTTTCTTGTAAGAGTGGTTTTTGCTAAACTCATCCAACTTTTAACCCAACCAAATAACAACAAGAGAGCAGTTTTTTGCTAAACCGATTGTTGAAGGGGACTACAATATACAGTAAGAGTGATTCCAAAACCAAGAAAAAGTCCAAGGAACTCGGCTCATAAGTATAATAAAACATAAGAACCATAAAAATTGTCACAGGAAAAAAAATATCATTTAGGCTTATCAGTAGAGAAAAGGGAGAAAACAGTTAAACAAGAAAAAATGCAAGAAAACTTCACTCACAGCAAACAACATGATTCCGGCAGGAGATGAAGAATGGGAAAAAGCTGATGCAACTTCTCTAATATCCATAACAAATTTGTCAACGAGAAGTCTTTGAGGTCCCTGATATTTTCAAGCCACGAGTCAATATCTAAAAAGTAGAGCAAACAATATTCAACTATTGATTGATTGATCAATAGCATAGAGCGGAATTACATATATCATTTGTACAATCAGAAACACAACAAAGATCCTTCATATAAGCTGATGGAGAGAATGCAGTCTCTCCACTATATTCCATTCAGACATTGAAATGAAATTAATTTGCTAAAGAAAACTATTTTGTCCTAGAAAGCTATGTAAACCGCGTTTACCTGACTTCGGAATAAAGGAACTAAATGAACCTTCAGTCCTGGCAAAAATCCAACTGTCAATATCATGCCGCAGGTCGCTGTTGGCTGAGTGTCAGTAGACCAAGAATATTTCTTCTTTGCTGCCAAAAGTGCCCATTGTACCTAGACCAATAATGAAGATCCATCACATAAGTACTCACGCACTCGTAAAAAGACCCATGTATCTTCCAGTTAAGAATCAAGACGACTAGTTAAATATATTGACGACCATTTTACACCATCCTAGAACAGTGAACAAGCACTGAAGCATAATGTAACAACTTTAAGGAATCGAACCTTCTTCCTAGATGGTCAACTCTGTAAGAATTGTTTTACTGAGAGAGAACCAACATAAGACTTGAATATTACCTCTACAAACTTATCTGTACGCACATCCCTGCCAATGACTCCCTCAGCCACATTGATAATAATAGGAATCTTGGAACCAAATATCCCTTCAATCTTTAGGAAATTATCGTATCTAGTCAAAGATAGGACAACACACCTTTCTATAAATCTACACGAACAAGAAAAGTGGGAATCATACCCGTTGTAGAGCTGCTTGCAAGATAAAGCAGGGACCAATAGAGGCCAATACGAAATGAGGGCGAATTGGTTCCATCAGAACCTTTTCCACAACCTCGTTCAAAGCTTTCTACCACCATAACATAAATTGTAGTTTTGTTGGAGAGAGAGAGAGAGACATGAAAACTAAAAATATGCTGGAAAAATGAGAAAGATTGCATCTCATGGTTGTATACAAAACTATCACAGTATTTCCTTCTCATCATATTACATAGCTACGACAGAACAATAACATATCGTAAGATTAGGTGTTAAATACTGTAAGTTAATTGAAAGAATATATTGTAAGAATAACAGTGCTCTTAGACTAACGAACATAATTCACAAATTCCGAGAAATATCGTAAGATTAGGGCTTAATATCGTAAGTTCCCAGAAAACAAAAATGAGATTATTCTAAAAAAATGTCTACCTACTAACGAACATAATTCACAGTATGCAAGGTACATTCAACTCTAGAATCGTAAAATTCCACAGCCAAAAATCTCAATTGCTTATAATTCATACAAAAAAGCCCGGAAAAGAAAAAGTAATCATGAGAAAAGCATATTCAATTTCGTAAATTCAAAAATCAACCTCAACATTCACCAAGTAAACAAAATTGGAGTACAATGAAAAAAAAAAAATTGAACTACAAACATTCAGCTCACAAGCAAAATTCAAGGAAATGAATTTTTCCTTCGAAAAAAAGAAAGAAGGGGGAAAAGGTAGCACCTCAAGTGAAGGGTTAAAAGAGACGGCAGATGCGAGTTTAGGGGAGGAAAGTATGCTATTGCAGATAGTGTTCCATGAACGGCTAACACACGCCGCCGATGCGAATGATTTGGCCGGCAGCCGACTGAGAATGTTTCGTATAACAGCTTCTCCTAAATCGTCGATCACATATATAATACGCCGGAAGAAATCTAGGTTTTCTACAGCGGCTCTCTCCATTTCTTCCGAGGCCTCCACAATTATCGGATTAACCTGGGACTTCCAAACGACTCACAGAAAACGACGAATTCTAGAAACCCTAACCCTAACCCCCAAATGATAAGGATATACAGAGAGGAATGGAATTAGAGAAGGAGGAAGAAGAAGATTATTGAGGAGTAAATAAGAGATTCGTGTTCTGAAATTTTGAATTCTGTTTCCCCGGCTTCACAATATTAAAAGTCCTCGAACAAACTAACCGCTAGTGCCTGTTTTTAATGATGCCAAGTGTCAACATATCATTGGCTGGAAGCTTAATTAATTAAGTTTAAATGGCTAACAGTTTGGCATGAAAATGGTGACTTCGCCGCTTGCATAAGTCGCTACGATGTCGTTTTATTTTATAATGGTATTTGTAAGGTGTTCATTCGGTAAAACCGTACCGGAATTTTTCGATAAACGGAAATTTTGGTATTTCAAAAATGTGTATCATTTTTTCAGTTGGGTACAGTTTTTTACCGAATTAATTCCTGTTTGGCATCGGTAAAAAAATATTTAAACTAATTAGTTCTTGAATTTGACATTCAAATTTCAATAATCCGCCCTAAAAATTAAAAAAATGATTATCAATAGAGACTAGGCTAGTTGGTAAATAATGAAGAAAAAAAAGCTATCAATTTATAAGTATTTTATAATTTGTTATAACCTTAAAGGATTTCAAATAAAAGAAAAAAATAAATATATATTAAACATTTCGATATTCGGTACGGTATGGTATACGGTATACCAGACATTTGTACCGTATACCGTACTGAATCCCGAAATTCAAAAAAATTACCGATTACCAAACCCAATTTTTGGTTCGGACTTGGCATGTTCCGAATTTTCGATTTGCTACGGTTCGGTCGGTTTATCAATTAAGTGAACACAGCTAGGTATTTGACTTCTTTCGTGTGGGGAGAGTATCAGCTTCAAATGGTTTTCGGGTGCGAGTTTGTAAAATGGATTACTAATCCAAGCGAATTAATACAATTAATTAATTGGTGCGGTACCAACCCTCATTAGGAGAGTTTGTACCTAGCATTTACCAATAGGGTAACGGTCTGGAGGTCGAGTCCACTCCCCTACTTCCCTTTGTAATGGACTTAAATTTACTAAACGAAATAAAAAATTAAAATTAATTGGTGCAGTAAGAGAATGTGAAGTAAAATAACCTAAATTTGAAGTTCTTTTAGCAACATTCAAGTTTAGCGTATTATAATATATACATGAGATATAGTATACTTAATGAAATTATCTAAAAGAAAGACGAATAATCTCTAATCTAAGCTGGAGACTACTATTTAAGAGTTAAGACATTTGAATAAGAGCTCAAATACAATTAACTCTTAAAACAAATTAGAAAATTTGAGAAAATTTCTCACTAGGCTGTCTAATTTGAGGAAAGGTCACGCGCTAGTTTTAGTTTCGATTAAATTTCTTAGATTTCGATTTTCATTTGACAGTCGGTCATCATTCGAGTTGTCTTTTAATTACTTAACTTGGACAATTCGTTATTATAAATTGGGGTTTTTGTGCATAAGTCCCTCACCAACCATCTTTATTATTCTAGATTCATGCTGGTGCGGATCTTGGTTTGAATTCCAACATATACAAGAGATTCCCCATTTGTCATTGTTTGGACAAGGTTAATTAGTTTCCCAGAAATGCTACGAGTTTGGAGAGTTTGTACGGCTAATTGATTCCGTTACTTCTGATGCCAGGTCACTAACAATGTCACATGAACATTCTGCATTCAGAAACCGTATGGAGGAGCCCCGTTTTACGTGTCTTGCAAGACATTTGGCCAGCTTGTTGTAGATCTTCAGTCAATAACCTGTTACGCTGATTCGCCAAGTAATTTTCTTCCTCGATTACATTAAGTATAGTTAGCTTGTTTCGAAATCCAATGCCACACAGTTCATCTATTGTGAGATGGATTCTTCGTAAGCTTTATTTACGCTGTCTAGAACATTACCAATCCTCTAACTAAGGTTTCTTTGTAAAAAGATTTTCAACTTTCGAGGCACAATCGAATCAGATTCCCAGACTTTTAATCAGGAAAATCAAGCCCAATTATTTCCATATCAATGTGAGACAGCTAATCATGAGGTTTTAGTTGATACCCCATTACGCTGATTAATTATATTTCTTACGCTAATTTTCGTGACAAAAATCGTTAATCAACAAACGTAAGACCCGAGTCCCGTCGCACTTGGAGTTTAATTTGATTCAATTAGTTTACAGCCTTTGTCGTGTTTTTCTCCATAAAATGGAGGCAGAAAGAATCTATATAGGGCCACTGAGAATAGTATTATGTTGAAAAAACCTCCCTTCAAAAGTTATGCACATCAAAAAGATTATGCAGCTTCGTTACTATTTACTATTACGCCATCCACCGCCTTTAAATAGCATCGCATGATCTATTATATTAGCATTCGAAACTCAGCAGCAACAATGGCACAGAATAGTAAGCAGAGAAAATCTGAAGGGCTGTGCCAGAAAATCTACAATGCAGTTAGCCCTTTGAGATCCAAAAATCGACGTATCGAAAATCCGCCCAAAATAATTAGCTCTCCACAGAGTAAACCAGTTCATATTACGCACCAACCGAGCCTAACAAAAATGATCCCTGTTGAATACGAACCTCCTTCTGCAGGTAAAAAGAAGAGTAACGGCGGTAAACAAGGGCATGACTTTGCCGGAAGAGAAATACTTATCGTAAATGGCGGCAAAAGGATTGCCAAAGAAAAATCAGTTAACCATGGTTCGTTTGCAAAGGCTAGATCCGAGAAGAAGGATAATGATGATGATGATGTGCATGAAGGTAAGTTTTCCGATTATATCAACAAGGTCAAAAACAGGATGATGAAATCTTATTCGAATGTTAATGGTGGTGGTGGCGGTGTTGGAAATTTCTCGAGAAGAGATAGCTTCAATGATAAGGTCGTAAACTACATTAATCAGGCCAAGGTTAAAATCAGGACAACATCGACGAACATCGGTCATTAATCGGAAGAGCTCTCTAAATAAGTGAAGAAGCATAAGAAATTATTTCAGTTATTGATTGTATTATTTTTTATTTTTGTTTTCTTGTGCAATATATATACATATTATATATATATACACATGTATGCATATGATTAAGATTTAAGTTATGAGTGGTACTGAGTTTATACAAGTCTTGAGATAAGGACATATATAAAAGGTACCTGTCTTTTGTGTGTTGTGATTGTTTTGATTTTATACTACTATTCTTGATCTCATGGATGCAGTGATGTTGAAAATCGAGATTTTCAAGTCTCGATTTTTCTTATCGAGTCGGTGTTAGTGTCTCTTTGTTAATTTAGTAGTCGTAACCATAACCAAGACGAAAGAGGCAACGGTTCTTCTGAATACGAAACACAATTACAACAAATGCAGTCCCAGTCTTGTCAGGACAAATGGCTCAGCTCAACATAACCGAGAATTTAAAACAGTTAATAACCGAAAGAAAATTATAATCCCCCACGAACAAACTAAAGACGTATTCATCGAATAAACAAACTGAAACTTCATCACACAATGAATGATAGAGAAAACGAGCAAATCTTTAAACGAGGCATATTCATTACATTACCAGTTTGTACGTTTCTTGATCGATATTTTCTTGATGAACAATCACGATTTCGATTTCACCGGCACATTATTATCATCATCATCATCTTCAATATCCCAACTCAAATCCTCGTCTCCATCGTCTTCAACACTCAACTGCTTCCTCAGCTCGTCTCTGTTGACTCTCCCGGCATCACTTGTTTTCGAGTTTTTATCTTCGTCCCCACTCCCAATATCCTCAATCTCATCCCACCCCAAATCCTCCTCTTCCGAAACGTCTCCCTTTTTGCCAGATTCACCCTTCTCTACTACTCCCACATTCTCATTACTCTTCTCTTCCGATTTCGTTTTCTCCTCACTTTTCAATCCACCACCACCAACAACAACATCCGACTTCACTTCTTTCTCTCTCTCCTCACTTTTCAATCCACCAACAACATCGGACTTCACTACTTCCTTCTCTTTTTCGACACTTTTCGATTCACCAACTTCGTCGGACTTCACTTCTTTCTCTTTCTCGTCACTTTTCAGTCCATCAACTTCATCGGACTTTACTTCTCTCTCATCGGACTTAACTTCTCTCTCATCGGACTTCACTTCTTTCACCTCCGCACCACTCTTTATCTTACTCCCATTACCATCTTTTTCCAAAACAACATCATCATCATCGACATCCCAAGACAAGTCATCGTCTTCATCCGCCGAAATCGCTCTCTTGACAAGATTCGCCCTAACACTCTCCTGCTGCTTCAGTTTATCCACTCTGTAAAAATACCGACACCAAAAAGTCTCGTGATCGACCACACTCGGAACAACCCTTTCGTAAATACCCTCCAAATTCCCATTCTCCCCAACCATATCCTCGATTTCGCCCTTCTTCTCATCGAGATCAAACGTTAGTTTCCACTTCTTGTACTCCTCCACATCCTCCGGCTCTTCACAGAAAGTACTCGGATCACTCTGAACAGCACTCACCTGCGACTCGAACCAACTGTACCGACCCGAATTCAAGCCCCGATTCGTTTCCGGGGTCTCGGGTTCCCCATCCGACCCGAAAACTTGGGTTTCCTTGGATATGATTTCGGCTGTTGACTTCAGCACACCATCCAGCACGCCCTGCGCAGCTGAAGTGCCGGCTTCGAGTGAAGCCGGGAGATCCTTCACGGCTCGGCTGGCGGCCTCCCGGATAATCTCGGACTCTTTTTTCAGACCCGATCCGAATTCCTCCAGATCTTTACGGTACGTTTCGATCACCGATTCGGATCGGGTAGCCAAAGTTTTAATCAAACCTCCGAAACTCCACCCATCAGCGGCAGTGCCTTCCTGAGCGGCGCCGCCGGGATTGGCATCTTGGTGAGGTGGTTTGAGAGGGGAATTTGGACCGGGTTGATCGGAATTAAGGGATTTGGGAGGGTCCGGATCGTCCAATAAAATGGATTTGAAGAAATTCATGGTGAAATGAAGGATTGGAGGAGGTTGTTTCGCCTGTTCTTTAGAGTATAGAACAAACCATTTTAAGCTCCGTTGGGCTTATTTAGGCCGACTAGGAATGTTCAAAAATGGGCTTGGTTTATGAGCAAGGGTATATTTGTCTTTCTCTTCAAGTCAACCGAGTTGCACCTCGGGGTTTGCTATTTGCAGCGGGCATATTACTAGGTCGTGGGGAAATTTTAGTTCTTTCAAATTTCACAAAAAAATTCCAAATTCTCTCTACTTTCAATTTCTCAAAAATTGTGTACTTCGAAACTCCCTTTTTGGATAGTATTCGAAGAACAACAACAATTATCTGAACAATCGATCTGGATTGCGATTTTGAAGTAAAAATTAGTTGTTCAGTTTTTTTTTTTTTTTGGAAAATTTATGTGTTTCGTGATGTTGAAACAAACAATATTCGTAGTTTTGCGTTGTAGAGCGTTATACTCTGGAATTTTTTATAGTTTTGTGTTCTAGAGCATGAAACTATCAATTCAGAAATCGGAGTATATGATACTTTCATTTTTAAGAGTTCGAATTTTGAATGTGGGTTTCATGCTCTAAAGCACGGAAACGATAACGTTTTGTGCCCTAGAGCATGAAGCTCCCCCGTTTGTATTTTTTTTCGAACTCATCCCTAAAATCTAATCTTAAACCGACTTTTGTTAACTAAAACGTAAATTAATTGATTGAAACGAACTAACTTAATAAAAAATTACCTTAAATGGGAGCCGTAAGTGTCGGATGAATGTCGAGAGGCAGCATGATTTCGAAATGTTTGAGAGAGTTTAAGATTTTTTTAGAGAATTTTGAAATTTAAAAGCTTAAAATGATTGAAATCCCGTTGTGACCAGTAAAAACTCTGTTGCAATTAGCATTTCATTTACAGTTGTCCAATCCTGAATGTCCAACCTAAATAACGTTATTACAATGTCAATGGATTTTATTCGCAAATGAAATGTTTAGTGGTTCAAGACATTTTTTCAACATAGATTTGAAAACCTTAAAAGAAAAATTCGACATACTCTCACATGTCTAAAACTCTTAATAATTTCAAAAGTTTTTCTATAATATTATAAACTTAGGTCATTCTTAACCAATAAATTCGTCAATTCGAGTCTTTTAGAATGCTTTGTTTGAAAATTTGGGATTTTTTGAGGTATTATTTGATCAAGAATCACTTTTAAAGGTTTGGAGATACACTTTGAATTTTTTAGGATGTTATCTAATAAGTATTCCAATATTTGTATTTTATATTCAAGATGACTAAACAAATAGAAATTTTTAATTTCGAATGCTTCCGGTATTGGAACAATTTTTTTAATTCCAATTTCTCAAATTTTTACTTTTAAATTATCAAAAAAAATTAAAACAGGATTGGAAATTTTTGTTTTACTTATAAAAAAATATTGATTTTTTTTTTGTCCCGAAAGTGTTAGTTCTGATCCGATATGCGTGATCTTCAACCCTATTAAAAATGGCATACTTAGTATTAATGATAATTTTGTATAGACTTTACTCACGAGATGACAAAGTATCATGCAAAGGTATACAGGTCAAACACTTATTAGTATCGTTGGCTAGAAACTATATATTAAAGTTTAGGCTGCGGCTATATGCATTACTAATTCCACTTGTGCAAGAACAAATTAAAGAAAAATTCTAAAAGATTCTATTTTATTAAAATGAAATGACAAATATACCCATAAATTAAATTGGCCTTTTTTTTCTTGTGCAAGACCAAATACAAATAATGAGGAAAAGAAAGAAAAAAAAAAGAAAAAAAAATAGATGCGTGAATATAAAAAACAAACAGCCCCCCTCCCCCCCCCCCCAACCCTACATACGCCCACCTTCTCCACCTACGCCGACCTTCTCCGCCGTCAAAGCTCCGCCGCCCAAGCTCCACTACCTACACCCACCTTCCTCATTTTGTTCAACATTACAAAAAAAGATGAAAAACAAATTAAATTTGAAACTAGTAAAAATCGACACCAAGGTGTCGAAAAACTGTGCTACAAATCGACACTTAAGTGTCGAATTTTATGGGTAAAAATCGACATTGGCATGTCGAATTTATAGCACAAATTCGACATTGCCAAATGTCGAATTGTATGCCTCAAAATCGACATCTAAATGTCGATTTTTACCCATAAAATTCGACATGTACATGTCGACTGCGTATGCGCGGGATTTTTTTGGGAAAACGATATTTTAGCTAAAAAACACATAAATGCATATCTTCTTGAGTTCTTCCACCGTAGAATCTTCTATTTTGATGTCTTCTGACTCCATACTTGCCATCTTTGTAAGATTTGTTGAGTTTTGATGATTTTGAATGTTTAGGTTTTGTGGAAGGAGAAAGGAGAAAGGTCTTGTGAGTTTTGAAAGATGGAGAAGATGAGAGTTGATCTTGTGATAGGGTTTTTTGTGTTTTTGAATTTTTGGTCTTGCACATTTGGAATTTTTTATTTTTTTAACAAGTAAGGGTATTATTGTATTTATACATTTAAAATTTTAATTTGGTCTTGCACAAGTGGTTTTAGTCTTGCATATAGCTGCAGCCTAAAGTTTATTTATATTGATGACGCAATAATTTATTTTTTATCAAAAAATGAAACCACTTCCAAGGATATGTAAACTTTTTGTCTACAAATGAAAAAGGTACAAATTTAATTTTAACTTTCAATTTTGATAAACTTCGATGAGTTCAGTTGCTCAAATGTAATATAGTTTTCATTTTGATTATTCAAACATCAAAAAGAAAAAGAAAAAAAAATCAAGTATAATTTTTATATATAAAAGAAAGAAACATTAGGGCAATCTAAGAAATTTTAATGACATATATGTAGCCACTTTTTGTATACTACTTTCACATCAAATCTCGACTAGCGCAATTATAATCCATTACCTATTTATATTTTTAATTGTTAATATTATTTTTATCTCTTATTTACAGCCTATTTTCTCTAATTCTTCTTTGTTTCATTTATTTAATGATCAATTTCATATTATGAAAATTAAGTTTATATATTTCTTTTTCTGCGAAAATGAGTTTGTATTATTAAATTTGTATAAATATTGATGTTGTTACCGATATCATTAATAAAATCTATTATAATTATTATTGTCATTTATTAAGCTAATTATTATTTTTCAATTTTGAAATGTTATCCCGTGCATCGCACCGAAAAAATTATAGTTAACTAGAAAAGTGTACACACTCAATCCATCAAATGGTTAAGATTAAAGATTCTAAAATGATTTTTACGGATTTAATATTTAACGAATACGGTTCATTCAAAATATTATTTTCTCTCTCTAAAAACCCACCCAAGCCCCCAAATCTCACAAACACATTTATAAAGAAATACATTTTTTACACTAACAAATAAGAAAATACTTATTAATAAATTTATTCATTAACTACCAGTTAATTGTACTAAAGGGGAAATCCCTCGCCCAGTTGATTATTACTACAAATTGTTAACCAATTATTTCTTAATTATCCATTAATTACTTAAAAATTGTTAATCAATTATCAGTTAATTACTAAATAATTGTTAAGCAGTAATTATTTATTTATTGATTAATTATTAACCAATTAATATTTAATTAAAAATTAAACTTAAAGCTTTTTTTATTATTTTTTAATCATTATTAAGTAATCACTAATTAACTAAAACAAAACAAAAAAGAAAAGGAAAAAAGAAAAAAAAAAGACAAGACCACAGTTCGGTTTCGGTTCCGGTTCCAATTTTGAAGGAACCAGAACCGAACTGAATATTTTCAGTTCTTTACGGTTCGGTTCCAAACGCTTTCTGGTTCGGTTTCCGGTAGAACCGGCCGATTTTTCTGCTTTTGTTTTGTGCGTGAAACATATTATTTCGCACTGTTTTGGGCGCAGATTGACAAAAATAAGTATTTTTCAACCCTAGAGAGTAAAAGCTTTTGAAAATTAAAACCGTACTCGTGAAAATTGAACTGCATTTATCAAGTCCCTTAAAGATTCTAGGCTAGTTTTTGCCCCCATTTCAAGAAAGGTAGAAGTGATGTTCTCTTCTTGAAGTTATACGCTTTTGACTGCTTTGGGAAATATATAAAATGCTTCAAACTTCCTAGGTAGAGTTTATAAAGAAAACAAAAGGAAAAACAATAACTGCTTTTGTTAGCCCCCAATCTAAGATTAGAATCACTTGGGGCAATGTATTTTGTTCATAAACAGACTTTCCATTCTTGTCCAATTCACATCTCACATCATTTTTTCTTTTCTTGAAAAAAAAAATTAAATAAAATTGTTTTTTGGCCCCAAATAAAAGGTTCAAGAAAATGGGCAGCAATTCCCAGCCTGTTGGCATCTGGCAAAGGCTGTTCAACTTCATAATGGGTAAAATGTTCCGTCCATCGCCTCCGGATTCCGAGATCGTAGTCGAGTTTATGCACACGGACGACCTCGAAATCTGTACTCAAACCAACGAACCAATCATAGTGCAAAAGGGTTCGGAGGAAAACGAGAAAAATCAACATGTCTCTGCACTGAATTCGCATCCGAAAACCGGTCAAGGAAAAGGGCTCCAAGAAGTGGAAGCCTTAACCGCGACCGGCGCTTCTGCTAAAAAGAAAGGCCCAAAAAAGAATGTCACTTTCAAAGAAGACGATAAGAAAGAGGCTAATAACAATAATAATCTTATCTCAGCCGACGAAGAAGCAAAGAAGGCGAATGGCAACGGTGGTTCGCATGAAGAGACGAAAGAGAAGCCACCTAGGCATTGGGGACCTCTTCTGAGTGTGGCGTCGAACATTAACGAGAAGTCCGATGCGTTCATCAATAGGAAGAAGAAAGCCATGCGAAGAAACTACACCCTTGATTCGGAAAAGTCTTGATTTATTTATTTATTTAATTCCATGTTTCGTTATAATTCTGTGACGTGAAAACTATGAATTTCATTTTTCAACAATTTCGACATAGTATGGAGAAAATCTTTTGTTATTTTATTATAAGTTTGGTGATTCATGTGATGCCAACAATATTAATAATAGTTTCGTTTTCTTGTTTCATCTGTCATCGTTTTCGCTAGTCGTTTTTCCTTATCATTAAATGATCGTCAGCTAAAGCAAAACGAGTAACAGATATACCAGACACGTAAAGAATACGACATGGAATTCGCATTATCAAAAATTGAAGAATTCAATATAATGAATAATAGCAAGAAATGCCATGGATCTAATTAAATTCAATACATAAAAAATAGTACATTAAATATTAATGAGAGGGATCAACATTCAACAATAATCTAATATACATATATAGGATAATCAAGCTCTGAGAATCATTCAGCAATCTTTCTGCACAACTCTTTCTTCCCCTTCTATTATCTCCCTCCACATTTCAACAAAACAATAAACAAATACATAAATAAATAAAATAAACAATAATTTTTTTCTTTTTCTTTTTTTGGAAAATCCAAATGGTTAAAACATACTCGAGATTTTTCGATACATAATTTTTTCTTCAACAATTTTTTAATTTTTTTAAATTTCTTTTTTTAATTAATATAGTATAGTCGTTGTATAACGTTTTTCTAACCTCCTACCGTAATCAACCAACCCTTCGTCAAAAAATCCAACATCATCCAACAATATCACTCTTCAAAAGAATGCTTCGACGAGCGATAAAGATCGTAAGGCGCCCAAAGATGGTCGACATTACAAGGCTTCCTCGAGTCGAGCCTCAACCAAGGCTTCCCTTTCCCACTCCAATGAAGAAGACTAATCGGACCGGGGTGCAATCCCCTGCATTTCCCTTCGATATTATCACCACCCAAACCATGCTGATTCCACCTATGGTCAACCGGCTCGATATTCCCGGCAAGAACAAGCAAGAAGGGGGGCAAAGACCCCAATTGATAAATCCTCTTATGCTTCTGCACAACCATCCAATCCTCGACTTTCTGAGAATATCCCCCGTTACGCCACCTGTCCAAGTCCATGACCATCACCCCCGTGTTGAAGTAACACGGCTGTCGCCCGTCGAACGTGCTCGACAGCTCGGGGGCCGACCAGAATGCGTCGGTGAAGTAGTTTGTTAGGTTGGCGTGGCAGTATTCAGGCGCGGCGAGGACTTTCTCCCTGAGGTCAACCTCCCATAGCTTCGCGACGTCGTCGACGACGACGAGGTCGGAATCGAGGTAGATGAGGCGGTTGACTTGCTGGGGGAGGATGTCGGCGAGGTATATCCGGGCGTAGTTGAGGGGCTGGTCGAGGGCTTGGCGGATCGATTTCGAGATGAGTCCGCGGACGCGGGTGGTGTCGAATTGGTAGAATTTGAAGTTGAGGTAAGGGAATGTGGATTTAATGCTCGAAAACACGTGCGGCTCGTGGCGGACCCACAGGAAATGGAAGACGACGTTCTCCGGGCAGGTGGAGTGCTGGAGGATCGAGAGGACCGCCGCAACCGTGCCGCGGAGGTAGTTGGCGTCAAGGGTCATGGCAATGTGGATGGTGGTATTGCCGTTGGCGCCGTTATCCGGGCAGGTTTCGCCATTGCGGAAGGCGGGGGCTTCGCGGAAGGAGAGAGGGGGGGTGTCGGCGGCGAAGGGGTTGCGGGTGGGGGCGGAGGGGGGGTAGGGTTTGGTGGAGGCGGAGGCGGGGAGGAGGAGAGACAGGAGGCCGAGGAAAAGTATGGAAGAGGCGAAGGCGACCATCCTGCGCTCATAATAATAGTAATAGTAATAATAATAATGAATAGGGAAAAGAAGGGAGAAGCCATTAGAGGGGAGGCTGGTGAGGAGAAGGTTTAGGAGTTGGATTATTGAAATGAATGATGGATATAGATTATTTGGAAACAAAGAGAGAATTTGGTGGGATTATATTCTTCCATCTTTCTGCGGCAGGGAATCATCCCACCACCATACATTCATGCATGCAATGCAACTATATATGATCCTTTTTTTTATTTATTTATCACATTTATATTTTTATTTTTTTAATTTTTTAAAATTGGGAAAAATATTCTATTACTTCCATTAACTTCATTTTTTTATTAACTTATTATGTTATCTAGTACTCGTTCCATTAAAGATAATTATTATGAGTTTTTCTTTTTCTTTTCATAAATGTATAAATTAATAAATGTTTATTAATGTCAATTTAAAAAACAAATTAATATGTGTTACACTAAATGAAGATGCGGGTCTTCGTGAGCTAATCCACTGAACAACCCATTGTTTTGGAGCATAATGAGGAGTCCCCCTCAAATTTCAAAATTATTGGCTTCAATGCGGGCTGCTGGATGCTTGATTGAAACTCATTGAGTGTCGGAACGGTGTACTCATGTAATGCTCGTTGACGAGGTAGTGGATTAGTGAGGTGAAATTGCTCCTGCTCGTTGATGATTTTTCCTTCCGCGTCTAGTAAGCGTCCTTGGTCATTTCTCCTGCGATTATTTTCTCCTTTCATTGTTGCGGGAACGTTTTGAGTTAACCGTTGATTTCTCCTGGCGTACCTAAAAGTTCGCTCGATTTCGGGATCAAAAGGTAGCAAGTTTGTGTCGTGTCTTCTACGCATAAAAATTACCTAAAACAAAAATATTAAAAATAAAATAAGCAAATTAAATAAATAAAACGGCTGAAGTAAGAAAAATTGCTCAAATTTAATATTAGAATAAATAGATAATTTAGCAGTATTCCCCGGCAACGGCGCCAAAAATTTGTTGGGACTAAATACCTAACACGCAAGTGCACTTATCGCAAACAAGTAATAAAAGTGGACTCGTGAGAGTCGGATGTCGATCCCACAGGAAATGCTCAAATTATCTAATCCTAAATACGGAATCCTACAATTATGATTTTTATCCAGCCTACGCAAGGATGTCAAATTTAATCAACTAAATAATTAAACTAATTATAAAATCAAATAAATAAGAGAATATATCAATAAAAACGGATCTAGGCTTTTATCTTCCCCCTATGCGATAATTCATCACCCAATTAAACCTCTATCATGCAAGTTACGATTCCTGATTATTAACCGGAGACACTCGATTACTCATAACCCGTTGTCGCGTGTATTATGAGTCTATTATTCATAAAAGATTCACTATATGTCTATGCAAAACAATTATGAATAAAGCATTAAATAATATAAGTCTCGTAAACGGGTACCTAAGGTATTATCTGTATGTCTACAATAATACATGCAATTGACACATTCATCCGGTGAAAACTACTCGAAGGATCTTCTATATTTGTTCTAATTATTAAAACGAACTATGGATTCAATTCTAATAATAAACATAGCAACATAAATTAGCTAGGTTCATGCACTAAATAAGATCAGATAGAAGACATAATCATGGAATTAAACTTGCATAATATTAGAAAAATAGGTTCGACTCACCACATAGGGTTCTAATAAAATCCTAGATTAAAAACTTAGCTACTCATGTTCTCTATAAAAAACATCATAAAAATATAAAAAGACATAGATTTAGAAAAGATAGATAGAAGAAGAATTATGATGAAGATTCGTCAGGTCTTCATCTTCGATTCTCCGTTCCCTTGCTCCCTTTGCTCTAAGATTGTATAAAAGTTTCGATTTCTTAATTGTGTGCTTGGCTTGGTCTTATATACGGTGGAAAATTTTGAGAAAAAGGTAGTTTCCTTGTGTAATTAGGATTTCTTTACTGCGCCTCTACGTCTTCTTGGACGACCGTCTGGATTTGCAGTTCAAATTCCAGACGACCGTCTCAATCCCAGAGACTTTATTCCTCCCATGAAAATATTGGGATGGCCGCCTGGATTTCTAGTGTATTTCTCAGACGGCCGTCCGGGCTCTAATTCTTCAAATTTTTTACTTCTTCACTTTTCACCCATATTTTCTCCTAAATTACAGTTTTGACCCTCTATTTATCCAATTTTTCAATTTATACCTAAAACACAATAAATTAGCACTTTAAGCACCAATTATCAATAAAATACACCAAAAACTCCAATTAAAAGATATGATTAAGTGTAAAAATTTACGTTTAACATAATTCTTCATTTTCATATTCTCCAAATCTCTACGTAGAGCTTGAAGTTTAGTAGTTTGTACATTTGCATTGCCTTGGGACTCCTCCTTCAAGGTATCTCACCCTTCCTTTGAACTTGTAACATCGTAATTCCTGGGAAAATTTAATCCGCCATAGCTATTTGAATGTTTTAGAGTGCTAAGTTGTCTTTTTCTATATCTTTGGCTAATTTATCTTTCTCCACTTGAGAGTGTTTAGAAATGTCGCTAGGAGTAGTCAACTCTTGGTCTGACAATCTCCCATAAGTCTTGAGATTAAAGAAGGTCTTGAAGACCAATAGTCATATTTTTCTTCGGAGAACATAGGAAGAGTAATTTGGTTGTTAGATAGTGTATTGGCCGTGATTTAAATTAAAGGAATAATAAAGGGTGGTTTTAGAAATAGTTTGTAGTGAAGGGAACGCCCAAGTATTTGATCAAACGGGGTTCTGATACCACTATTAGTTTTGGAAAGGTGGCGGATAGTAATTTGAAGTTATTTCATTTACTTGGAGAGAGGAGACCATAGAACTTAGTTGAAGGAGAAGGTTTTATTAGTTTTGGTTGAGTTGATTCAAGTTTACAAGGCCCCATAGCCTATTTATAGGCTTTATGGATAAATCTAGAGAATTGCTGGAGTACACCTTCTCTAGAATTCTCATAACAATCCTAGTTATTTTTTAGTATTCTTCTATGATTAGAAGTATCTAGCTAGCCTTGAGTCCTATAGATTATGCTAGATACTATTTTACAAGATTAGTGTTTCTTGAATATTCTAAAATTGAGCATTAATTTCAAAGGAAAAAAAAAGTAATTAAGACATTAAAAAGTTATTATTTAGGGGCCTCAAGATGGAGAAATTGTAAAAATAGAGCTAATAGTGATTGATTTTAGAATTGAGGTTCCAAAATATTAGATATTATAATTGTTTAAAAAAAATAAGTATTAATATATAATATGTATATAAAAATATTCGGAAGCCCTAGGCCACCGTCTATTTCGCCTCCCCTCAGAACCGACAATGTTCACATTTTGAGAGCTTTTCAACTCAACATGTTCGATGAAATGGTAATTGTGTAGCTTATGCTCTACCTCGTCTTTCTGTTAAAGATTTGTATATGTCCAATTCTTTACCAATGGAGATCTAAACATCGTAGCTGCAGACTCAAAATTTTAAAATTAAAATTATTCCCTTCTAAAAAAATTGTAAAACATGAGAGAGAGAAAAAAAAAAGCTAAACTTATTTCGAAAATAACAATTTATGTATAAAATAATAATAAAATTACTGGTTCCTAAAGTATTCAAAAAAATAATCAATTACATACATTATTACAAGAGAAATGCTCTGGTTGGTCAAATGAAGTACAAACTGTACTCTTTTCTTGTTTTAAAATGTTTTATACGACGAACTTACCTTAGTAATCAACCTCCTTGACATATAGTAATCAACTTCTATATGATTTATACTCAATGTTGTTAATTTGTTATGCAGGCCATTCATAAAATCTACATTAACTAATTTTACAAAATAAAAAGAAACTCTTAACCAGATCGATAATTCAGTCGTCATTTGCTTACATATTATTAATTAGAGCAACTCCAATGGTAAATATCAACATTGAATTATCAATTGCTCATTTGATACTTGAGATAATATTTTAAAATCATTTAAAACCCATCTACTCCAACTGTGGTTATTATATTTTATTATCAATTGGAAGTTTTTTGATAAATTTATATGTAAATTTATATCAGTTGGTTAGGTGGTTATTTTTTTGATAACTCAATCTCCAGGAAGTATTTTTAGGATCAAAGAGGTGAAATATCAAAATACAAACCCATTTTAATAACCCCTTTGGAGAACAAAATCTTTAAATTTTAAGAGTCAAATGGTAGTTAAGAGATTTGATAACTCATTTAATAACTCCATTGGAGTTGCTCTTTATCGAAAGAGATTCACATACTAGTAAACTGTCACAAAGTTGCAAAGAGGGAAGCCATATCAAAAACCTTTTTATGATACAAAACAAAACATCAAATGATGTTTAACTGTTGAACTTTAACTTGCCAGCGGTTGTTGAAGTTCTTTCAAAGCTCGTCTTTTACGGGAGATGTTTGGCCGTAAGACAATTCATCCCAATAATAAGGGAACTTCAATTTGGCAGCGGTGTGTGGCATATACCAATCATCGTATATGAACCTGCATCCATCAATATTCAGATACAATCACAAGTCACAACACTTTAATCCACACACAAGACGATTATATATATTGTTGTTCGATTGAAGGAGGTTCAAACTTGTTTGTTGGTGCTGCCTTTTGAGAGGGTCTTTCATGTTAGCACATAGTAGAATCCCAATTAGGGGTTGGAATCCGACGGATCGGAATTAGCGATTTTAAAAAAAATCTGATTTGATCACAAAGTATATGAATGACCACAGAAGAGCATTCATTATAAGAGATGAAGGGATTTTATCGGTTTGTTGCTTTCCAAAAACCCAATGTACCAAAAGCTAAGCAGTCATATAAATCGTAGAGAGAGAGAAACTTAGAAAATGATAACTTACACTTTTATTGGAGGTCGAGATATAATAACCAGAAACTGCAAATCCTCGTGTTCGTTCGTATTCCACACCTAGCAGAGAGGCATAGTAACCATCAGAATCAGAGATATCGTTGCTAAGAAATTAAGAAACGACTAATGAGATATTAATCTATAATCAAGATGTTCAAAGTATATATAAAAGAAACGAATTAACCTCCAATCAAGTCAGAATCGTGGGTAATTACCCGATTAAAAAAGCAAATTTGAAATTGAATAATCCTATTTTACTATATAAAAGGCTCCAGTTACAACAGGCTTTATAAATAATTTTGTCATTCCTAGAGCTTCAATCGTAATTGCAAAGATAATTGGATCGAAAGAGAGAACATATTTTCGTACGGGCTACGTTCCCCTGTTGCAGATAAAGTTCCTACAACACGATCCACCATGCATAAATTGCACGACAGTGTCAAGATTTAACTTATGTTCTGCTTTCGTTCGTTTTCTGCTTGACATGCTAAGAGAATTTTCTCCGCAGAACTCCTAAAACACGCACTCCTAAACATATTAATACTAACTTATATACCTGATGAGCATCATTGATAGGGATATGAAATGTAGTATTCGTGAAAATCGGAAACTGTTGTGGGCTGCCGGGATAGTTTTTATGTGAATCGGAGGCAAGATAAAGAGTGCCACTCCCTTTTAGAACCACAAATATCTCCTCACACGAGTGCCTGTGAATCGGCGTACGAGCACCCGGTGCAAATGTTTGTAGCCACACCTCAATCTGCCCAGACAATAAATTCATCAGATCAACTTTCAAAAAAAAAACAATTATGAATATTTTAAGTTCACAATAAGCTATGATCACCTCTTTGAACCCGTGCATTACCGAACCGGCAATTGTAATGTGAGATAAACCGAGCCTACCATAGTTATCCTGATCGATCTCGCTGATATTCCGGACTATGGGCACGCCTTAAAAAATGAAAACGAAAAAAAAAACGGTTAGATTCTGATTTCTGATTCATACCAAGAAACTGGGGCTACCATTTTAACTTAATGCACACAACGTGTTTGTTAAAATGACTGAGAGAAAGGTACTTGCCGTTGGCTTCAAAGAGTGAAGAATCGGCGGCGGCGACAGATAATAAAAGAGTAATCAAGAACGACGTCCACGTAGAACCCATGATTTTTTCAAGAATCACTCGGCGCCAAATTTCTGTGTGTGGAGTTAAGCTCAAGCTCAACTCAACAGGTTCGTCACCCTTTCGTAATTATCATTTTGCACCCGCATATCATATGTCTCTTACAATTCTGACTCTTAGCTTAAGAGAATAACATCTTTGCCCCTCGGGTTGTATTTTATTTGCGAATTTCACTCTTAAATTATGAAAACTGCATTTTGCGCCCATGAAAATTTCAAATGATTGCACATTGCACCTCTAAGGCTATGTTTGTTACGATTTTCAAATTATTTTCACTTTTTCTCCAAAATAAAATTATCTTTCTAAATTATTTTCAAAAACTTTTTCCAAAAAAATTCAAATGTTTTCTTCTCTAATAAACATGAATTGATTGAGACATTATAAAATGTTTTCACTATGATACAAACTTAAATCACTTCATCTTTCAAATTCTTACAAAATTTATTTTCCCAATACCTTTCAAACATGATTTGACTAGCTACAATATAAATTGTCTCTTCTCACAAACCCAAACAAACTTTATTTTATTTTCAAATTCTTCTCCCAAAACATCTTTTTCCAAAATAAAATGAAAACGGAAGCCCAAAAGCTTACCAACATAGCCATATGTTTTTATAAAATAAGTCTGACTTTTTTTTTCTTCCTTAGCGCTCGTGTGGTTTAACACGAACAGAGCTAAAAAAATCGACTTATTTTTATATGTCGAATATTTGTCAATTTTTTATATTTTTTTACAGGTGCTCGTATGGTTTCGCATGAACGTTTTGCTCGTGTGGTTTCTCGTGAGCAAAATGTCAATGTTCATGTGGATCCACACGAGCCCCTTAAAAAAAAATACGACTTATTTTTTAATATCAAATATTTACCATTTTTTATGTTATTTTAAGAGCTTCTGTGGTTTCACACGAATATAGAAATTTTGCTCGTGTGGTTTCACGCGAGCAAAACGTGTCTGTTCGCGTGGAATCACACGAACTCCTTAAAAAAATAAGAAAATATATATTCTAAGAAATTAAAGAAAAAAGCCAAATAAAACAACGTAGTTAAAAAAGGCAAATACAATAACAAAGTTAAAAAAACCAAATGCAATAACAAAGTTAAAAAACCCAAATACAAATATTGTCTTCGTGGATGGAAAGACTGACGTCTAATTTCATGATCATGATTAAGGGTCGTACCATTGTGGGGTACTATTTCCTTGTGCTAGGCCCACAAGGTTTTAACGAGGTCCTAGATGCCTATTTATAATGGAATAACAAATGTTTTTTTGCAAAAAAAAAAGAAAAAAAAAGAAAAGACTAAGGGTCGTGTTCATCCCACTCAACTAGTGCATCTTTACTATCAAATGCAGTCGAAATAATGAAATATTGACTGTAATCATGTAAATCGAATGTTTATGTATACTTCTTGCTTTAAGATAAATATAGTTAAAAAAGTATTAAACTAAAAAACAAAAATTAAATAAAAATAATAATAATTAAGAGTTCGCGTGAACTCTCACGAGAACCTTGTCAGGGTTCGCGTAAATTCACACGAACATAAACAAAGATTCTTGTGTGAAACCACACGAACAAAAAAAAAAATTAATTTCATGTGTTCGTGTAGATTTACACGAACACTTGGTAAGTGTTCGTGTAAAACTACACGAACACCCTATAGATTAAAAGAAAAAAAACAAAAACGTTACCTCCGATAGGTGATCGTTTGGATCTATCTCGAAATTTGTTGAATATCAGGATTTTTTTGAGTTGAATGTTAAGTTTTGACTTTTGTGAAAAATTGAGTTTGGTAAAAAAGTAAAATTATTATCGTAAAAAATGCCAACAAGTTACCCATTGAATTGAAGGCCTCATAGATTCACCGGTCCCAAAAGATACATTCGAAGATGACGAAAATACCCTCGAAACAAACCCATATTTCCATCCAACTGGAAATCCAGCAACTTCTCGCTCGCACATTGGGAGGAGATATTCCTTCATATAAAAATCTCATTGGTTAGAGAATTCATACATACATATATATACACTTTCGGCAATCATAATTTCATAAATTAATTCAACCCAATTTGGGCACACACTCTTCCTCACTGCATTTGATTTTCACGTACCGGAGAGATTTCCCAATAATATGCAGGAAGAACAAGTCCTTTGATCAACTGGGGTTTAATTTAGCGGCTTGAGCAATCCGCCTTCTTCGAATGATTGCGAGCTTCAGTGTTGGATTATTGCTCCGCTAGTTTATTGATCGGACGGATTTTTTTTTTCTTTCGTTCAGGATTCTGTTTGCACTTTTTTTCTTCTTAATTAATTAATGGAAGCGGCATCTGAAAATTGGAGATGAGAAAGAGGCAACAATGGGGAAAATCATGGGTGGTTTTGTATTGCCCCTGTTACTTTTGACAGGTGTGTGAAATTTGTTGCCAAATAGACTTTATTTCTATATATCCTGCGTTCCTGGTTGTTTGTAATGTTTCATTGTTGCTTAGTTAATAACTATTTTCGGTTGAAGTGTGTTCAAAGATTTTATTTTGTTTTCGTATGTATGCTGCTCGTAAATTCGAAGAGAAATGTTGCGGTTGTCTTTAAGAAAGTTCGCTAGCTGGCGACATTTTGTTTTTGCAATTTCTTGCTTTTCTAGAATCCTCAAATCGTAGGTTGTAAAATTTTGAATAAATATATGCAGCTCGAATGGAATAATAATAATAATGTAGATATATATGGAACTGATAATCACTCTTTGATTCTCATTCAAAACAATTTAAAAATTTCAGGAAACCTCCGACTTTAGGAGCAAGATAACTCAACTGATTGCATCATAGCTTTTTCATTTTTCTGCAGAGCATTACATCTGTATGCTTTTCATTACTATGGAGCATTTTCAATTCTTGATTATACTATTGTTTCTTACCATCTATGTACTTTTTGCAGCTGGATTACTGAATTGGAGTTTGATTTCTCTTATTCATTTGGTGACGTCTCTTCTTTTCCGGTTTACTTCCCCTAAAACAGGTAATGGTTTGTCTGTGAATAAGAAGTTAGCTACTTTACCTGGTCATGTGTTTATCTTCGTCATTTTCATTGTTGCTGCTTATATTTTGTATGATAACGTGCTGACATTATCACTCAATGAGCATGTTGGTAGTGTTCTTTCTGAAGGCTTAACCTAACTGTGTGTATATTTTTCTTCCTCTCTTTTTCTGTGAATTTAGCAGGACTGCGATACAGAGGGAGAGTCTTCACTTTGTGGTTTATTTTCATTTACTCGGCTCTTGTGATTATTTTACAAGTGGGCTTTCTTATACTATGCGCAATTCTGGGTTCAGAATGGAGCATTGCAGATGCCTGGTGGATAAAGCTGTTTGGACTTATGAAGTAGGATTTATATCTTTCCTTTTCTAGCTACTTCTACGTTGTTGAGTGTCTAAGTACGATACTAACTACTTAACATGGTATGCTTTTACAGTGTCCAGTCCTGGAAATCTCCCACGGTAATCTACTTCCTCGTCGTAGAATTATTGGTGGGGCTTGTTGCTTTCTTTGAGATCAATAGGAACAGATTTGGCTTCGTGGAATCTCGAGATTCATGCTGGTGCTATTTGTCATCTGTGTTTGAACACATAGGTTTGTCCAGACTGTTGCCCCTATTGGTTTTGACTGTTTCTCAAATATCAAAATAAAAAATATCAATTCTCATGTATGTTGTTAGACAGCGACAGTTTCCGTCCAGTGATTTGAATTCCAATAGTGGTTGTGTACTTGGAACAATCAGAACTAGACATGAATTAGATATCTTCAAATTTTACAAGGACAAGTCTGATATTGGGAATTTTTACTGCATGCTCAAAATATTGATCTTTCAGTACCATTTCATCAGTTCTCTCTTATGATTGTGCATTAAAAAATGCTAGGAACTTATCAGTTACTGGTTACTTATCAGTTGTCACGTATTCATGTATAAGTTTGCAACATTAAAGTATTTGGATTTTCAACTTTTTTTGTTGTTTGTGAAAAATAAGACAAACTCAATAGCATGTGATTATGTCATAGATTGACTATGTTTTTCTCCTTTTCATCCCAAATGGAAGGTTATCGCCTTAGGTTGGTTTCCTGCTTATTGCTGCCAGCAGTGCAGTTGGTTTCGGGGATCAGCAATCCTTCTTGGCTTTCTTTACCGTTTTTCATTTGCAGCTGTGTCGGTCTTGTTGATTGGTCTTTAACAAGCAACTTCTTAGGCCTCTTCAGGTATTTCATCCTTGCATATAAAATTTGTTTATTTACATGATACTAAAATTTATCTTTATTTCCCTAAAAGATAATTAAGCAAATAAAAGGTCCTGAAGTTAAAGTTTTTAAAGTTCAAATTCAGTCAATGCTTATGTTCTTATACCTGGCTTGAAGGTGGTGGAAGATACTGTGGGTATATGCTGGCTTTAGCATTTGCATACTTTATGTGTATCAGCTTCCTATTGGGTTTCCACAGTCTCTTCAGACGTTTGCTGATGTCATTGGTCTGTACAAAGCATCGGTGGATTCTGATTGGCAAGAAATTTGTTCTGGTATTTCTCTCACGGTGTTCTACTATATGGTATGCATTCATTGTCTTAGTTTCCACTTTACTTTACTACCTTGCCAGTGAAACAAGTAAGATTAATTTGTCAATGTACATGTTTAAGCAGCCTTATATATTTTTTATTTAGTTGTCGGGCTCTAATTTTTTTTATACATGTATTATTCTCTGTCTACTTTTCTATAAATAATAACATGGAATAAACATGAGCAAATCAACTCATTGATGCAATATGGTGGTTCTGAAAGCTAGATAATTCATAAGTGCTGTTCTTGGACATGTTGTTCCTTTACTATGTTCATTCATTAAAAGTAAAGGTCAACCATATTGATGATTTCTTGTTAAATAATATGCTTAGAAGAGTCATATATAAATTGTTGTGCATTTTTAGCTATTAAGAACTCATTCTCAAACGGATGTGCAGCTCTCTTGTGTAAAACATGACCTAGAAGACATGGAATTTATGATGTCCATGCGAGAAGGCAGCTTGACTGAACAGTTTCTTCCCTCAAAAAATTCCTTTTTTGTTCGTCAGCTGAGGTAAATACTACTCATTGGTTTTTCTTAGTTAGACAAGCCATCCTGTTTTATCTGAGATGTGAATTATTTGAGATTGATTTGTTTTCTATGAAAATCAGTACTCGTGGGCCGTTAGTCTGTTACTTGTAATGCTCTATGTTTCAGCTGTTAGGTAGCATAAGTTAGGGGGTTATTGCTCATGACATTGTTTTTCTTCTAACTCAAGATTGTTGAATAGTTCTTCTGGTTTGCAGGTCTGGTGTAAGGCATACCAACATTTTATTGAGGGGAACGGTTTTCAGGGTTTTTAGTATCAACTGGTTCACTTATGGATTCCCGGTATGTAGTTACGTACTCGAGACTGTTTATCCTCTATGCATGTATGTTTAACTCAGATCTCTCGACTGATGCAAATATGACAGGTGTCCTTGTTTGCTCTTTCATACTGGAGCTTTCATTTCGCAAGTATATGTGCATTTGGGTTACTTGCTTATGTTGGGTATGTTTTGTATGCTTTTCCATCCTTGTTCCGGCTGCACCGTTTGAACGGGTTGCTTCTTGTGTTCATTCTCTTGTGGGCTGTGAGCACATATGTATTCAATGTAGCCTTCGCATACGTGAACTGGAAACTCGGGAAGGTACCTTGTTATATTAATCTTCAACTTGCTTTTGTGAGCCTCAAATTTGAGTCAAGTTTACGATTTTTCTTCTTTTTATTTCTTATTGTTTTTTATTTATAATCAGGATATGGAGATCTGGGAGATGGTTGGATTATGGCATTATCCTATCCCTGGTTTCTTCCTTCTTGCACAGTTCTGTCTTGGAATTCTCGTAGCTCTTGGTAATCTTGTAAATAACTCGGTTTTTCTGTGCCTATCAAATGAGGAGAGGCAAGTCTCTAATGAGAACAAGACTGAGGAAGGTACATATGCTTATACTAACACTAACAATTTGATTTTCTTTTATTTTAAATGACACCGTGTACCCTTGCTCTCAACTCAATTACTCCTTCTGACTGAACCACGCTTAGTCGGTCATCACCTATTTCAGTTTTAAATACCTCCTTAAATGCTAGTCTCTGAAAGCAAGCCGTGAGTGAATCAAATGCGTGTTGTTTGATTGTTAATTGGTTAGTCAGTATAGTAACTTGAAATTGGAGGAGTTGCCTCTCACAATAGTTCTTCTTGGCTACTATGTAGCTGCCTTTGTGAAATAGTTTTTCTGGTCCTATGCTCCATCAGTGTTAGCATAGTCTTATGTTGGTCATGTAGAGTGATCAAAAGAGACCATGCCTTTTTTTACATACATGATTGTCGCATGTTCAAGTAGAGTGATCAAAAGACACCATGTTTGCGTGACATGGTAATTAGGTATGTTATAGTCTGGCTTTTGATATAATCTGATTCTTCCTTCTCTGGGCATGAAAGTTGGGTGTTCTTCTGTCAGCGATTCTAATGGCTGTGCTGCGTAGTCTTTTCTTTTAAAGTCAACCTGCCTTTCACTTTAAACCCAATTATTTTATTTATTGTATTTATATGGTTGCAGTGAAGGAAGATGCCAAGGTTTTAATCGTTGCTACAATTGCTTGGGGACTGCGCAAAAGTTCTCGGCCTATTATGCTGTTGCTGATTTTCCTAATTGCTACAAAACCTGGTTTAGCTCATGCTGTTTATAGTATGTCAAAGCCCCAACTCTGAATTTCCACTGCATTTACTTTTAAAAAAAAATATTCTTCCACAGTCAACATAGTGTATTGAAGAGTAAGCAGTGCTGCATGGTGGTGCTTGCTCAGTATTTTAATCGATTATAAACTTTCTTTCTTTCAGTGGTATTCTTCTTTGCTTACCTTTTGAGCCACAACATCGATACAAGGATGCGACAATCCCTTATTCTTCTGTGCGAGGCTCATTTTGCGGTTCTGTACATTCTTCAGCTTAGTCTTGTCTCCAGAAAATTGGAGCAGAAAGGCTCTATAAGTATGGAAGTGCTATCACAGTTAGGTGTGGGTTTTATGAATCTTGAATTCCTTACCTTTCAATATTTTCTAGCAATAGCAATATTCCATTTTTGTTTTATGGACCTACTGTTTTTGTTTTTTGCTAACTCATTTGTGAAAAATCTGTAGGCCTCCTTGAAAGTGATAGCTCATGGGACTTCCTCGAAATAGCTCTGCTCGCGTGCTTTTGTACCATTCATAATCATGGATTTGAAATGTTGTTCTCATTTTCTGCAATTGTTCAGCACACACCTTTTCCTCCAGTTGGATTTAGCATCCTTAAAGCTGGTCTGAACAAATCAGTTCTTTTGTCTGTTTATGCCACCTCCAACACCAGAGATTATAGTGTGAATCATTCTCATGGTACGTTCACCTTTTCCAAGGATAAATTCTTGATTGTGCTTAAACTCGTAATTCCTTCCTACTTTTCTTTAAAAAAAGGTACCATCACTTATTATTTATGTAAATGCTAATCCTTGTCCACCTTTCAGAAAGAAGGGTAGCATTGTATCTGAGTGCAGTCGGGGAGAAGTTCTTATCCATATACAGATCATTTGGAACCTACATTGCCTTTCTCACCATTCTTCTTGCTGTATACCTTGTGAGACCTAATTTCATAGCATTCGGTTACATTTTCCTTCTCCTTGTCTGGATAATCGGAAGACAGCTCGTTGAGAAAACAAAACGGCGTCTATGGTTCCCACTCAAAGCATACGCAATCATGGTTTTCGTTTTCATTTACATCTTAAGTGTATTTCCTACTTTCGAAATGTGGATGTCCCAAAAAGTTAATCTTTATGTATGCTTCGGCTATAACAGTGACGCTTCTCTGTTACAAAATCTCTGGGAGTCTCTAGCAATTGTGATTGTCATGCAACTTTACAGTTACGAGAGAAGACAAAGCAAAAACATGAAATTGGAAGATACCGAGCCATTGCAATTGGGGATATTGGGATTTGCAAAAAGGTTTTTGATCTGGCACAGTCAAAAGATTTTGTTCGCCGCGCTTTTCTATGCTTCAATATCTCCTATAAGTGCATTCGGGTTTCTGTACCTTCTTGGTCTTGTTTTGTCTTCTGCTTTGCCTAAAGCGTCCAGAATTCCATCCAAGTCATTCTTAATTTACACGGGATTTTTGGTGACAACTGAATATCTATTTCAGATGTGGGGTAAACAGGCTCAAATGTTTCCAGGACAGAAGCACCACGATTTGTCGATTTTCCTTGGTTTACAGGTGTATAAACGGAGTTTCGAGGGTGTAGAAGCGGGATTGAGAGCAAAAGTGCTTGTGATTGCTGCGTGTACACTTCAGTATAACGTTTTTCACTGGTTGGAAAAAATGCCTGCTTCTCTTTTGAATGCAGGGAAATCGGAAGAGCCTTGTCCTCTATTTATTTCAGAGGAAGATGTTTCTACTGCTTCAACTTCTAATGGAGATCGTGAAGTATCCTCGCAAAAGACAAGAAGCAATTCATGGCCGTTTTTGACACCCGATAATTACCGGTCAACTGAGGTTTCTTCTTCTTCTTCCAATACTAGTAGAAAATACTCGTTCAGTTATATATGGGGGAGCATGAAGGAAAGTCACAAGTGGAATAAAAAGAGGATTATTGCCTTGAGGCAGGAGAGGTTTGAAATGCAGAAAACAATGCTTAAAGTTTATTTGAAGTTTTGGATGGAAAACATGTTCAATCTCTTTGGCCTCGAGATAAATATGATAGCGCTGCTACTTGCCAGTTTCGCTTTGTTGAATGCTATTTCTATGTTCTACATTGCATGCCTTGCTACTTGTGTTCTGTTGGGTCGAACTATTATACGTAAACTGTGGCCGGTATTTGTCGTTGTTTTTGCTGCTATACTTCTCGTTGAATATTTGGCAATGTGGAAGAGCGTTATGCCTACGACTGAGACTAGTGCACATTGCCATGACTGCTGGAAAAACTCGATCGTGTATTTTCACTATTGTGAAAAGTGTTGGTTAGGTACTGATTTCTCTGACTTGTAATTTGATGTTTCTTGTCGAATTATAATTTTTTAATTTAGTGCATTGAATTTTTATCCGTTTTCTCGTTTTACAGGAATTGTAGTTGATGATCCTCGTGTGCTGATCAGTTACTACGTGGTCTTCATGCTGGCGTGTTTTAAACTCCGTGCAGATCATGCATCTAATTTTTCAGGGTCGTTCACATATCACCAGATGATTTCTCAGCGTAAAAATGCTTTTGTTTGGCGAGATCTCACTTTCGAAACTAAAAGCATGTGGACTTTTCTCGACTATTTGAGGGTATACTGCTATTGCCATCTATTAGATTTAGTACTCGCTCTCATTTTAATAACCGGAACCCTCGAGTATGACATTCTGCACCTTGGATACCTTGGCTTCGCTCTTATTTTCTTCCGTATGAGGCTCACCATATTGAAGAAGAAAAACAAGATCTTCAAGTATTTGCGTATATACAACTTTGCTGTGATTGTTCTCTCTCTGGCCTACCAGTCGCCTTTTGTTGGCGATTTCAATGCTGGGAAATGTGAAACAGTGGATTATATTTACGAGGTGATCGGCTTTTATAAATACGACTACGGATTTCGGATTACCTCAAGATCTGCTTTGGTGGAAATCATCATCTTTGTTTTGGTATCGTGTCAGTCGTACATGTTTGCTTCATCAGAGTTCGATTACGTATTTCGATATCTCGAGGCGGAGCAAATCGGTGCAATCGTACGCGAGCAAGAGAAGAAAGCTACATGGAAAACCGAACAGCTACAGCACATTCGCGAATCCGAGGAGAAAAAACGGCAGCGTAACTCACAAGTGGAGAAAATGAAATCTGAAATGCTCAACCTACAAAGCCAGCTCCACGGTATGAATTCATCTACTGCTTGTGGTGGTGATGCTTCTTCACCTGCTAGTGGAGGTTTGAGAAGAAGGAAAAACGCTTCGATCGATTTTCAAGAAATTGAAAACCTTGAGAAAGAAGAAGGTTATGTCAGTTTTGATTCAGGTTTTCCGTATAATGTGTACGAATCTCCACGTAGCTTAAGACCGGAGACCCCATTTGCAGTTGACTTTACAAAGCAACAAATTGATGCTTCTGTTAGTGAGATTACGGAACTTGGAGAGGATGCGAACGATAATGATCCGGACAAAGAAAAGAAAGGTAAAAGCCCGTTGAAGGAAAACCATTTAGCTTCTGCTGTGCAATTGATAGGCGATGGTGTTTCTCAAGTACAGTCGATTGGAAATCGGGCAGTTAGCAATCTCGTTAGCTTTCTGAATATTACACCCGAAGATTCGGATTCGAACGAGCCGCCATCTTTCGAAGATGGGCTTTCGTTTCCGAAAAAAACGCCGGAGATTAAACAAGCACACTTTAGTAGTTCGTCTTCTCTGCTGTCTGATAAGAGTAGAACATCTGAGTCTGCAAGTCTACAGATTGGAAGAATAGTCTGTCATATATGGTCACAGATGCGATCGAATAATGATGTTGTGTGCTATTGCTGTTTTATTCTTGTCTATCTTTGGAATTTTAGTTTGCTTTCTATGGTGTACTTGGCGGCTCTGTTTCTATTTGCTCTCTGCGTGAATACCGGGCCAAATTACATCTTCTGGGTTATTATGCTGATCTATACCGAAATTTATATATTGGTTCAGTATTTCTACCAAATAATGATACAGCATTGCGGTTTCACCATTCAGTTAGATCTTCTACGTGAGTTGGGGTTCCCCATGAAAAAGATAAAATCATCGTTTGTTATCAGTTTGTTACCTCTGTTTCTGGTGTATTTATTCACTCTGATACAGAGCTCTATTACTGCAAAAGACGGCGAATGGTTTTCAGTGGGATTTAGTAATTGCAAAGGGGGATTCACAAGTCGAAAGGAGGATCACCCCAGCTCTAGCTGGAGAGAGAAGGCGAAGAAGATTTTCCGATTAATTTTACAAATGGTCGAAATGGTGCTTAGTAGCTGCTCTAGGTACTGGAAATCACTGACACAAGAAGCGGAATCTCCTCCGTATTTTGTTCAATTGTCGATGGATGTGAAAGAATGGCCAGAGGATGGCATTCAACCGGAAAGAATCGAATCTGGTATGAATCAGTTATTACAGCTCGTTCATGATGAAAACTGCAAGAACGGGATTTCTCTCCGCTGTCCTTGTACTAGCAAGGTTCAAATTCGAAGCATCGAAAAAAGTACAGAAAACACGAATGTGGCTTTGTCTGTTTTTGAGGTTGTTTATGTCTCATCTGTGACAGACTGTACACCTGCAGAACAGTTCAAGTCTCTTACTCCGGCAGCTGATATAGTGAAAGAGATCCTTAAAGCACAACGAATGGGACTTGCTAAAGAAGTTGGATTTCCTTACCCTATACTCACTGTAATTGGAGGTGGCAGAAGAGAGATTGATCTTTATGCATACATATTCGGTGCTGATTTGACTGTTTTTTTTCTGGTCGGCGTATTTTACCAATCTGTTATTAAAAATAAAAGTGAATTTCTGGAGTATTATCAGCTCGAGGATCAATTCCCCAAAGAGTTTGTGTTTATTCTAATGGTAAGGAATAATATTTGTTTGTATACCCCTGATTACTAGGAACATGCGTATTTTTTTCCCCTTAAATAATCTGCGTGGATTTTTGTTTGTGCAGATAATTTTCTTCCTGATTGTTGTGGATCGAATCATATATCTATGTTCATTTGCAACGGGGAAGGTCATATTTTATCTTTTCAACCTCATTCTTTTTACTTATGCTGTGACCGAGTACGCATGGAATATGGACACGTCACAGCAGAACACTGCTGGTTTGGCACTTCGAGCAATATATCTTACGAAAGCAGTTTCTTTGGCATTACAAGCCATGCAAATTCGATATGGTGTTCCTCATCAAAGCACATTGTATCGGCAGTTTCTGACCAGTGAAGTTTCTCGTGTTAACTATCTTGGATACAGGCTCTATCGTGCTTTGCCTTTTCTTTATGAGTTGCGATGCGTCCTTGATTGGTCATGCACTACGACATCTTTGACAATGTATGACTGGCTGAAGGTGATTTTTTTCGAGTTTCTATTATTTGCTCTTATAAATGTGTTGTGTGCGGGGAAGTAAATTTCTATAAAATCTTGTTAGATCAGAGTGATATCATTGTTTCTTCTGTGAGTATTTCCTTTTCTTTTAAGTGGTATCCAAAATCTGAACTATAAGCGAGCCTAATGGCATTCTTAAAATCATCTAAGAATAAAACCGTGTGTTTGAAGTTACTGGTTACTACTACTAAATTTTTTATTACATGAAGGCATGGTTAAAATAATATTCATTCTTTAATTCCCATACCATGCACAAAACTTTGAAAGAAGAATCAATTCATTGGAGAGTATTTGTAGTAGCCCTGCAGCATTTGAATTCGGTTTCCTAGTTTGAATGTACCGTACCTGGTTCGTCTATTTGAATCTGAAATTTAGTGAAGTTAACCATCTAGGATATATAATAGAAGTTTGAAATAAACTCACGTATTGTATCTTGTTTCAGTTGGAGGACATAAATGCAAGCTTGTACCTAGTGAAATGTGATAGTGTTCTGAACAGATCTACACATAAACAAGGAGACAAGCAGACAAAGATGACAAAGTTTTGCAATGGCATTTGTCTCTTCTTTATTCTAATCTGCGTTATTTGGGCTCCCATGCTGGTAAGCAATTCTGCTCTGTCAATCCAAATATGATGTTTTTATTTTATTTTATTTATTATTATTATTATTATTAGGGTAAATTACAAACACCCCCCTGAGGTATGATCAAATTACAAAAACACCCCTCTTGTTTGGATAATTACAACCACCCCCTCAACTCATCAAATTTAGTGGAATCTTCGAGATTATATGGAATATTATTACTTTTGTACCCGTTTTATCCCATTCAAACTCTACATTATGAAGCAAGATGACCATAATATGTGATTTTTAGCTTGTATATATCAGTTTGTGGTGCATCGGAAACTGTATTTTTTACACAAAGAGTACAAACTAG